TTATTTTATCATAAATTTTTATGATTATCATTTATCATTAAATTTTCATGATTACCATTTAATATTTTTTTATCATGATTACAATTATAAAGTTAATTTGAAAAGATTATGATATATTTTAGTTATTTCATAAACTTAAAAAAATTATCAAATCTCAATTGATTTTGTTTTGTTTTATTAACCTTTTTATAGAAATTGAAATAATTTATTTTAGGTCAAATAAGGATCTAAATAATTACAAAATAATATTTATTCTTACATTTATAGAATGATAAATTAAATATTTAAGATAAACATTAGAGTTCTTATTTACTTTATCTTTTATATATTTATAATATACTTTTTTTGTTAATTTTATTAACAATACATCCTTTAAACTACGTTATTTTTTTCAAGAATATAAATGTAACCTTTCAAAAAATATACACAAATATATTTAGAAGTCGGTAGAAAATTTTATTGGTTAAATTATAATTCCATTCAAAATTTATTGATCATAAATTTTTGAAATCAAATCATGCATAAAAATAAAATGTATTAATGTGACCATTCAAAATATTTTCTATATATAATAAAAATAAATAATATTAATACCTCCATTCGAAAGATATATTTGTAAAGTTTTGATTTTATTTTTTTCATATCTTTATATAGAATTCAAATTTTATTGATCATAATATTTTATGGAATCAAATCATATATAAAAATTAAATATATTTATGTCACCATTCAAAATAATTTCCATATAAGTATAATAAAAATAAATGATAATAATGTCTCCATTCAAAAGATATATTGGTAAAGTATCGAATTAAATGGTACTCCAATATTTGATTAAAAAATTGTAATATTTGTTTTTAATATTGTATAAAAATATATTAATTAGTCGTACTTTAAAAAAATAAATCGTAAATATTTTATTAAAAATTGTAATATTTGTTTCTAAAATTATAGCAATTAAAAATAAAAAAATATCAATACAAAATAAAAATTTTATTCAAATTTCACGACAAATGAGAATTATAATTTCGATTCAAAATAAATTAAAATTTTGAAGGCTCATCAACACCAACTTGTAGGTTATTATCTTCTCTTTAGGAGAAGAGAAACTTGTAGGTTATTATCTTCTCTTTAGGGGAAGAGAAGGAGAAGAGAAATTCGGCAATGCTACATTCAAAAGAACTCACAATTTGGTGTAAAATAAATTCCATTAAAACATAGGCCAACATAATTTGCAGTAGAAAAATATATTATGCCATATGACAAACAAAATATGAAAGCAATAATATACATATACATAATTTGAATCAAATCTTGTTAAAAACATTCTTCTATAGAACCAGAAAATGATCGCATATCAACGTTGGTTTTATCATCTTATACATCTTAGATAATTATTGTCTTGCTTATGGTTCTTCTGAAATTGGTAGTGAACTTCAGCAACACCCGCTACTCTTGAACCCTTAAAAACATATTACTTTAGAACTTCGGGTGAATAAGAGTCTCATCCCTTTGACTATCCTCATGTTCATCAAAATCTTGTTCCTCTTCCAAAAACAGTTCCTCCAAACATTGCAATGAGACATTTGCATTTGCTATCTGTCAGAAAATACAATTAGTATATAATCAGTACCTGCCAATGAAAGCCATTGATATTCCTTGTGGAAGCATAAAATTCAATTGTTTCAATTTCCTAATCTTCAATTACGGCTGTAGATGGAAATCAAATGCTCGGGAAATCAAATCATCTGCACCATATTGAACATATATTTACTATTATAAGGTTAACTATCAAATAACTTGAATGAAAATATAAGTTAACACTTGGCTTTGATGATGAATCACATGTGAAAATCGACTCGATTAAGTAGATTTAAAATAGTGGTCTCTGATTCTGTTGTGGCAGTCTCCAAATCTTGTTTAGCAATATTTCTGTTTGTGAAATTAGAGAAGCAAATGGTCACTCAGCCATGACCATGGTGAATATTGGCACTTAAAATGCTAAGACAACTCTGCAAACAATAATATTATAAAGCATTAAAACTAAAAACAAACTGTTTATTTCTTGGGCATGATAAAAAGCCACGCCATAAACTTCAAATTTGAATTCATGGGAGAAGGCCGGTGACAGCCCTGTCCATCATTGCACACAATGAGTTTAGGAAGATCATTGGTGCAACAGATGTCCTGTTGACCCCCATAAGCCGAACCACTAATCCTCTCTCTATCTTCAACTTCGAAAACAAATGCTTGAATCGACCATGAGGTAAAGTTTGATAATTCCTTGTTAAGACAGATTGTGACTATATTAAACCTGTTTTCACATGACAAAATCAAATCGCAATCAGCATAATTTCATTTTACGTATCAATGTATAAAAATTAAACTATGACACAATCTGTTATTCAATTGGTTGATTGGTCCCCTACTGATTCAAGTGTGAAATCAATTATCAGCCTCCATATCCATACATATTCCAAAAGAAGAACCATACATATTCCAAAAGAAGAACCGATTAAATCAAGAAAATAAATACAAAAATCTCAATTAGATACAAATAAATATAATAGTAAGCAAAATAAACAATAAAATTGATGAGAATATACTGCCTTTTTTTATCAAACATGTGATGGGAGAAATTGAAATTTAAATAGATTAATAATAAATTGAAAGAGGAAGCAAAAGAAATAAGCTTCTATCTATTTGGAGAATCAATCGTAAATATATATTGTGAGCTTTGTATTCACCAAGACTAAACAAATAAAAAAAGGCAAAACTCAACCTCATATTTTAATTTAAAAAATTAAAAAAATTGAGAAATAAAATCTGAATAAAAAAAACATACCTAACAGCAAAAAAATAAACAATATCATGGTTGTGTTGTTCGTCACATGCAAGCTCAAAAATCCCCTTCTGCAACTCTCAAACCTAAAGATAAAGATATCCCATTTTAGGTGTCAAGTTAAGCTTTTTTTTTTGGAAAAGGAGAAATAGTAAGACAACCCTGAAAACGAAAAGAATACAACATAAAATATGATATTCCAAACTACATTTCAGTTTCAACTTTCAATCACATGTTTCAATCACTCACCTTCGTCACTTACATATGTATGAATCAAATTAACGTTAAAAATTGCATTTGAAGGAAATTCTTTTATAGATCTATAACGGGTGTTGTTGGTTATTGATGTTGTTGAGATTCATAGGTCTTGGTTGCGACCACCATTCTTACGCTTGAACGTCTGAAACAAATAAATTAACAGGTTAGGATGAGAATATTAGATGGTTGAGATTACAACGAAACGAAATTGGTAGCAACAAAGAGAGAAGAATGAAAAGAGATGGAGCGGCGCAGGAAGAAGATGAAATTAGGTTTTCTGATTTGTGTTTTAATAGAGTTGGGTGAATGAGTTATTTGTTGCATCTTGGGAAAAACGATTTCTTTGGTTGTATAGATTTACCGTTTCAAGAACTCAACATTTATGATGGTTGTTCATCTTGTGCTGCCAATTTAAATCTTGCAACAAAAAACGTGATTAGGGTTTAGTGGAATAATTAGAATTTCAAAACCCAGTGTACGTAGCAACTATAATATGAGTGTTTTAATTTAAATTTCAAATTGAATGACCTTTGGTTTGGATGAGGGTTTTGGGAAGTGGTATGTAGCACATAATTAGGTGTGATTTTAACGTGTAAATATAAACAAAATAGCATAATTGTTGTTAGTTAGAAATAATTAAAAAAAAGTAAAAAGTGACAGAAAAAACCATAGTGTGACACATCAGCCATATTTATTGTCAAATCAATATGGTGCAAGTATTTTAGAAAGTTACAAATATACTTAGATTAAGATTAAATTGAAATTTACTAATTAGAGTATTATGGTAAGTTAATGGTACTTTGGTTTTTATATATTTATAATACATAGATTACTAACTTATTAATAGGGTACTACTAGTATTTTAGTTAAAGATCTATTACTAACTTAAAAAGCTTAAAGATCTAATTAACAATCATTTTAATTAAAGGGTTGAATTACAAATTAGAATCGATATACAAGATTTATTTATGGGAGTTAATAGTGATTTGGTAATTTGGAGAAGCAACATAAGAATTAAAGGGATAAAGAGAAAACAATTACTTACAATGATTTGTAATATCGCTGCATGCTTCATATAGAACATTTCATCATTGCAAAATCACATAAATTACATTAATTTCATAATTCAAAATAAGTGAGGCATAAGTTATCCCTTGTAAAATTGAGGGAATTTACTTTCAATGACATATATCAATGAAATTTTATCACATAAAATTAATTTTTAAAATCACATATTAACCAAAAATCTTAAAATATTGAGTCTATACCTTTCCTCACTTAAAAAAAAGTTCAATGTTCGCTTTTACATCTAACGTGGAAATCATTACTCACACTTGACATATCAATATCTTACTACTCAAAAATCAAATTATTATTTTTTTTTTCATTTCATTTTGATTCTTTAAAATTTTAGATTAATATGTGATTTTAAAATTTTATTTTATATAACAAATTTTGATTGATACACGTCATAAAGAGATATAAATTACCTCTATATTTACAAGAGGTGGCAAGAATTTACACATAAAATAACATGATCAATAAATATATTAACTGAGTTAGTCACATTCTACCACATGATAAGATAGTTCAACGGTTAAAAACCGATCGATATTGTTAAGTTAGACACTATTGCAAAAGTTTAAACTCTGATATTCGCTGTTGTGTGTGAATTTTTAGTGATTATCGTTATCGTTTCGTCTATAGACAAAAAAATATATATAGTTTTTTCATTGTTGTAGAGATATTTGATTAAGTTGTTCTTGCTATTTGAATGGTACAATTATTCTCTCCCTAAATACAACAAAATCTTGCGAAATCTCTCATTACCAAAATGTAATACAATCACAGACCAATCCAGATTGCACCTATGGCTTACTGAGAGGGTAAGCTATTCTCTTTATGTCTTGTTTAGTAGAGAAGCAAGATTGCGAAGTTCCTCAAACGCATGCATTGTTTCTGCATCAAATCCTCCCGCAAACTGCATTCGCAGACAAATGCATGGTTCAATCAATGGTTGCCGTGAAACACAATGTGCAAAGAAACATGAATTTCAATTTGGACATACCTGATGGATTCTGAAAGCAAATCTCACTCCTTGGAGAACCATGTAATCCATCGCAGGATCTTTGTCAAATGCTGACTTTGTTTGAACTTCCATGGCTACCCTTTTCATATACTTTTTGGCCAATTTAACTGACCCTAGTTTTATCTATAAAAAAATGGAACATGTTAAATCCAATGTTATGACAATATCTATAAAGAACCAAAATATCAGATGGTGTGTACCTTGCCAATAATTCCATTATCAAGCATCCATTCTACAGGAATTTGAAACTCCTTGCAATTTCGCATTAGTGAGTCCCTCGTGCGGAGAAGAGCATAAACCGTGCGTTCCATCCTATAGAGAAAACCACAAATATAAGTATCTTGCAACGTGAAGCGATAGAATCATCACAAAGCACTCTCGGAGATATTTGAGTAGCTCACTTTTCTGATAAAGCAACCATTTTCTTTAGAGCAATATCACAAGGTAGCCGAGGATCGTCCTTATAGGAGGACACTTCATATTCCAATTTTTTCAAATCTTGGTATCCAAATGATGCTTCTCTTAATGTGTCGGCTTTTTTCTCTGGCCAATCAAAATGTTTAAGGACGGCCCTTTCGTCCACCTATGGCAAATATATGCATAAGAATAACGAATTTTAGAAGGAACATTAATACACCTCCATGCTACATATGGAATAAGCCCAAAACAACTTACAAGGAAGCAAAGTTCATCATCAAGCCACTTCACAAATGCCACTACATCGTCAATGTTCTGATATACCGCATTGTTCACCTCTCTAATAAGTGAATTTACGAATTCTCCTTGTGTTTCAATATCTTCCTTTATCTGCATATCGAAGAATTGGATATTATTGTTTTAGATGTCAATCAAATTAGTCACTGATATAAGTACAATGTCTTCGATCTGCTATTTTGTAAACAAATTTTGTCATAAAAAAGCTAGAAGTTAGTAAGTTGAATACATAATATGTAAAACTACTCACAGCAAGTAAATGTGATGAACGGTTCTCAATTTCTCCAATCATGCTACTACGAACATCTGCAACATCAGGAGCATCAGCGAGTCCTCCGTTTGAAGAATCCTTTCTAGAATCTCTCTTCATGAGTGAATGGTACAATTCCACCACTTGTGGCGCTCTTTTTACCATCGCCGTGTTACTTTTTGATGCGAAACTCATAGGAGGTGGTGGAGGAGGCGGAGGCGGAGGAGGTTGAACTTGAACTTGATCCGGGTTTTCTTGTTTTGTTTTGCTAGTAATAGAACATGAAGTAGGTCTTGGAGGAGGATTGGGAATCCTCAGTGGCCTCTTCTCCATAACAGATTGCTGAACAAACAAAGGCAATGGCACGGGTTCCTTTTCGATTTCTTTTAAACATTCAAGGGAATCAAAACAATTAGATTGTCTTCTTTTATTCAATACAACAACATCTTCCTCAGAGCTATTGGAACCACTAATCGAATGTCTTCTTCTATTGCTTCCCTCAGATATTGATTCAATCCAATTTTTCTCAAAGAGACTACTAGTACTAGTACTACTTGTGGACTCAACTTGTGACAAATTATCACTACTAGTTCTTGGCCACTTTTTCAACTTCTTAACCAAATTGAAGCTATTTCCGCTACCACATTGATCAGAGAGAGAAATAACAGATTCTCCACTACTAATCATAACAGATTGAGGACTAGATGGCTTATCAGAATCCAATGTTGAGCACGTATTCTTCAACTCGGTTCGTAAACACGAATTCACCCACCTCAAGTAGGCAAGCTCCTCCACCTCATTTAATCTGCTTGTTTGTAAACCTTCTACTTGTTTACTCAGGTCTTCGTTCGTGAGCCGGAGCAATGACGCCTCGGCTTTGAATTTGGCAACAATGTCACTCTGATCATAACATAACAGGACAATACGAAAGGGGAAAAAGTGAATCAGCATTGACAAAACTGGGCTTAAGAAGAGAAAAACATGCAACCAAAACAAATTATCAATAAGAAAAGGAAATTTGAAATCTGAAATGAAAAAATTTCTTCATAGGCTTAGAAAATGAGTCTTGCTGCATTAATAATGAAGCACTAATTAAGAAACTTCAATTCACTTAATAAACAATTACAGTATATAATAAGTACTTAAGTAAGTTTATTTTATCCAAACAGAACCCTATTCATGTCTTCTAGGTTTTAAGACTGTATATACGGTTGTGATAAAGAGCAAATTGTACTTAATTTCACACTGCGACAACCGAAATCAGTGTCCGAACACCTATATCGACCAATATCACGAAAGCTTTATGCCTAACAATCCATGAGAAATAAAGTGTGTCTCGTTGAAATTGAATGAGTCAGATTGCAAAAACTACCTCTGAAGAGTTTGCAGAACTAGACAACTCAGACTCCATAGAAGATAGCCTGCAAGTGAGGTTCCTCTTCTGCATATGCAGCTCTTTATTCAACCTTCTCAACTCAACAACTTCAAGCTCAAGATTCTGCATAGAACTGTCCTCATTTCCCCCTTTGACCACTTCCTCTTGTCTCTCCAATCCACAGCTCCTACTCAATACAGCCAATTGCTCAAAGAGACTAGCTTTCTCTTCCTCCAACAAAGCAACTTTCTTCACAAGCTCATCAACCTCATTCCGGTTCTTCCTACACTCAGCCAGCTCAGCATTCAGCTTACTCTCCCTCTCCTTAGACTCTTGCAATAAATTCCTCATATGATCCAACTCCGTGAACAAATCAGTTGATGATTGTCTCCTATGCGTTGGAAAAGCATGTGGATGAACCTGAGAACATGACAAATCACCCATTAAGGATCTTTTGGCTCTCGAATGAGGTGGAACAAAAGGGTTCTTCTGGTTAGCATTATCCGAGGTCTGTTGTTTTTTTGTCGGAAGAGAGGATTGTTGTTTGGTTTTCTTGTCAGCTGAAAAGCCTTTGACAATGTGTGCACCCCATAGCCTTGGTTTTGAGTGATTGTTGTTGGGGTTGTTTGTTTTGGAAGTTTGAAGCTTTGGAGGATGGTTTTGATCGGCAAATTTCGAAGCTTTGGACTTGTTTTCTGATGGGTTGTTGTTATTAATCTCTTCCCTCATTGTATGAGAAGTTGAAGATGAATCTTGTGTTGTTAGAACAGAAGAAAATTGGATTTGGGGATGATGATGATGTAATGAGAGTTTCTATTTGAAAGTTCGAAGTTTGAAATTTGAAATGTTAGAAAGAGAAGACATTGGAGTGTTTGAGGATTTCGAGGGATAGATGCTAGGGAGAGAGAAGTCCAACGGTCGGTTTTTTAGCTTTTTGGGGGAGAGGGACCACTTTGCCACGGAATACTTGTGTAATAGGTTGACCTTTTTCTCTTAAATCAAAAAGTTTTTTGTTTTTGTGGAGAGTACCTTAAATGAAAAAGTTTGAAATAATTTTGTTTAATACACTTCCTTGTTACTTAAGGTTTTTACGTGGATTAAGGTATGTAATATTCTTCCTCTTTTAAAATGAGTGTCATTTTAATAAATAAGATTTATTTTAAAATAAATGTTATTCTTACTTTTTAATATAGAAATAATTACTTTAAATTTTTGTGATTACTGAACACCTCAAATCTGGAACCAAAAACAAAAACCACAACTATTAACTTCAGATTATGTGTAGGATAATTCCTTTCATAAACTTTTAACTGTATGAAAACATATGCCACACAATCTGACCATTTTGCACTAGCACACCACATAAATTCATCTTTGAAGCATCACAATATACCATAAAGGACTCACTTGAATTAGGAAAAATTAACATTGGAGCAGTCGTCAACTTCTTCTTGAGTTCTCGGAAACATTCCTCATATTTCACATCCCAAACATAAGCTTGACCATTTCGAGTCAACTGGGTCAAAGGCAATGTTAATCTTGAAAAACCTTTGATGATCTTCCTGTAATAACCAGTCAATCCTGGAAAACTTCTAATCCCTGTAATGGAATTCGAAGTGTCCCACTGTAACACAACATCAACTTTTGACGGGTCAACTACAATCCCCCCACAAGAAATCACATGACCGAGAAAAATCACTTCCTTCAATCAAAACTCGCACTTAGATAACTTCGCATACAACTTCTTCTCTCGCAAAACCTCTAACACAACTCTTAGTTGTTCTGCATTTTTTTCCTCGGTCTTAGAATACACAAAAATATTGTCTATGAACACAACAACAAACTTATCTAAGTATGGATGGAAAATCTTATTCATATACTCCATGAATACTCCAGGCGCATTAGCCACTCTAAACGACATTATAGTATACTCATAATGTCCATACCTCGTCCCCAACACAGTCTTCAGAATGTCATATGGTTTCACATGAATCTGATGATAACCAGACCTCAAATTTACCTTGTTTGACACATAAGCACCCACTAACTGATTCATCAAATCATTAATTCTCGGAAGAAGATACATGTTCTTGATAGTAGCCTTATTCAGTTGTCTGTAGTCGACACACAACCTCATACCATCATCTTTCTCCTTAACTAGCAACATTGATGCACCCCACAGAGAAACACTTGGTCGAACAAACTTCTTCTCAAGCAACTCTTTCAACCGTTTCTTCAGTTCACCTAACTCTGAAGCAACCATCTGATATGGAGCCATTGACACCAGTCTCGTACCTGGTACTAGGTCGATGGCAAATTCCACCACACACTCTGGAGGCAAATCACATATATCTTTAGGAAAAACATCAGAAAAATCAAACACCACTTGCATAACACCAGTCGTCACATTGTTCTCCATTCTAAGAGAAGCGGGCATCACCAACACATGATCATTCTCTTTTAAAGACATCTCAACTTGACCGACAGACAAGAATCTCGAATCTGCATTCTCTTTGGGTTTGCGAAATAACACAACTTCAGAGTTTTCTTCTTCAGCCTGAAAAGCGTTAGTATCAAATTTCTTAATTGATTTAAGGGCTAGAGACTTACCTTTCTTCTGAGGCTCATGCTCATCCAGTTCAATCTTATGACTTCTGAGAGCGCTGATGAGTTCCTCCAGAGACACATTGTTCAGATCTTTTGACACCTTGAAGGAAGTGACCATTGGTGCCCATCTTCTGGGTAAGCTTCTGATGATCTTTTTCACATGATCTGCTTTGGTATATCCTTTGTTCAAAACTCTCAGACCAGCGATCAGAGTTTGAAACCTAGAGAACATTGCTTCTATAGACTCACTCTCTTCAACTTTGAAGGCTTCATACTTCTGAACTAAAGCCAGAGCTTTAGACTCCTTAACTTGAGAGTTTCCTTCATGAGTCATTTTGAGAGACTCAAACATATCATGCGCTGTATCTCTATTAGTGATTTTTTCATATTCTACTTTAGAGATAGCATTTAAAAAAATATTTCTAGCTCTGTGATGATTTTTAAAATCAGATTTTTGTTGTCTATCCATATTTTTTCTATCCACTTTGTTTCCTTCTGAATCTGTAGGATGTTTGTAACCATCCAAGAATATATCCCAAAGATCACTATCATGACCTAGAAAGAAACTTTCTAGTCTATCTTTCCAGTACTCAAAATCTTCTCCATCAAACACTGGAGGTTTGTTGTAACTATGATTGTTTTGTTCAGCAGCCATTGTGTTTTCTTCTAGATATTTTCTTGACACGGTTAAGTGTTGTGCTCAGAGTCAAGCTCTGATACCAATTGAAGGGGTAAGAAAACACTTAGAAGGGGGGTTGAATAAGTGACTCTTTTTGTTTTCAAAACAAAGCTCAAACAATAATGGAATAACACAGTTATTTTTATCCTGGTTCGTTTGAACTCAAACTACTCCAGTCCACCCGCCAAGGTGATTTCGCCTTTCTCAACAAGGACTTAATCCACTATAATCAACTGATTACAATCATACAACAACTGTTGTGACTAACAATACACAGGTAAACTTACAAGTGACTAACACCACTAAGACTTAAATCTAGTCCTAGTCTGCTTGAGAAATATGACCAAACTTGGTCTCTCAAGGAACAAAATACAGAAGTTTAATCTTTACAGATAATGAAATAAAGTTTGCTTCTAATCAAGCTATATCACAATTGTGATTTTTTACTTTAATACACAAATTGTATGAACAATGAGTTTGTGAGCTTTAAGATCTTTCACGTAGTTTCTTGCTTCTTTTGAAAATTTGATTGGTTTTCTTGGTTCACATCAAAAGTTGTTGGCTTGCAATAAATTTCCTTCTATTTATAGTAGGAACAAAAAGACCGTTGTTGCCTTCAGAAAAGATGGAGAGCATTAAATGCTTTGCGTGTATCCTTGCAATATTCCATTTTCCAAGAAACTAGTTGTAGGCACTTGAGTGCTTTCAGCCGTCTTTGCATTAATGAGCAAACGTCAGAATGTAAGAACATGTTTTCCTTTTCTTTGACAAGACAAGTTGATCTAAACGTTACTTCAGAGTTTTTCTTCAATGTCTTTAAGTCAGAACATGCTTCACTTATCTTCTAGGCAGTGCGTTGCTTGCTAAGAACTTTGAACAACGCTTGCTTTCAAGTTATCTTCTGAATCAAGGAGCCTGCTAGAAGTTAGAAGATATATTTAACAAATAAAGGTTCTTACCAGAGTCAGCATATGCGTTTGAATAAAAGGTTCTTTTATCAAAGAACTTCTTCATAATCTTTGCTTAGTACTTTAGAATGTTTTCTGTCAGAACATTAACTAAGATATTCAAAACACATTCATCAGAGCATAAATTATCTTAAATATAATTTAGTTATCATAAAAACTCTTGAGATAGGTCAGAACTAATCTTGTTCTTTTAGACATCACCTTGTAGCCGTAGAAATGTTGAGACTAAGCCATTGGATTGACTTGACTCGCGTAGATCAAATAAAAATCGCCACCGCACTTTATTGTTTCTAGAGGAATGGGAAAAGAGTGAATAACCCAAAAAGGAGGGGAGAGAATCTAAGTTCGGGGGTTGGTTATGCAAAGGTAAGGTATTAGCATCCTAAACATCTACGGTACTCCGCATGAACCTCTTTGAAAATTTGTGTATTTTGGCTATAAGTGTTGTATATAAAAATAGATGGTGGAGATGAGAGAAGAAATATTTTTTTTATAATTTTGGCACCCGCCGCGGTTGCGAACCTTTAGTGCCTAGATACCACCTTCTGTGCAATAGGGGATCATGATACTCATAGTTAACCTTTTAAAAAAAATTTAAAACACAAGTGTGTTGGTTAATTTTAAGAGACGAGACATCATCATTATATCCGAGTGGAAGAACATACTTACTAACCACGATTATGAGAAAGGAGAATTTGCGTCATCTCAAAGTGGAGGATATGGCTTGGATTTTAAAATCAACAAAGCCTCGCTCAACACCCAAGTGGAATATGTCTCACTTCATTACATATCGTAGAAGTATAGTAGCTCACATAACTACAAGGATTGACAAGAGTCTAATCTTTTGAGAAAAAGTTTAAGTAAAAAGCCAAAATGGCAAAATGGTTTGAATGAGATTGATTGAATTTTAGTCTTCTCATAAAAAATGTCAAAAGTATTGTTAAGTTGGTTAAAGTTTGATCAAGAAAAATGTTTTTGAAAATACATGGACATAAGTCCAAGTTTATTGTGAAAGAGGTTCAAGTTTGGAAAACAAGAAGAGTTTTCAAAAGGAGGGAGAAGCTTTTTAAAATTAAAGAAGATGGGAGGAGATGAAGGGACTATCCTAAAGCATAAGGTAAAAGCTAGGGAAAAGAACCGTCTAACCAACAAGAAGCCAACACTTGACATAATTAGTCAATGTAGAATTCTCATCCTTTGGATTGAAACCAAACAGTCAAAGATAATAAACCTCTTAAGAATACCAAACTTCGAATGCGTTAGGTCTTCACAAAAATTGGGCAGAGTAACAGTTGTATACAGAGGAATTCCCGATCATAGACAAAGCATATAATCAGAATAACTTGCACACAAAGAAAATCAACCCAATGTCTTGGGGTAAACCCTAAGAACTCCAGACAAAATAACAATAAAAGTCACAAAGTCTCAAGGTAGTCAAGGTCTCTAATCCTAAGTCTAAGAAGTCCATAACTCCA